TGGACACATTGGCCTGGAAAGCACTTCAGATAATCATAAACAGCTAGGCACCGGAGGGGACACAGGAGCTAGCACCCTGCGTCTCCTGTGAGGGTCCAAGCAAGAGCCTGGAGTCACTCTTCCGCTCCACAAGCCCCGATGGTGCTGGGACAGGATAGCCAGGGCGCTGCATGGTGCAGGCACAGACCACGTTGGCTGACGGTGCGCCTGCGCCCTGCATCAGCTCCCGAGCCTGTATACGGAGCATCTCGGACCCTCTCACCATCCCGACTTATGTCCCGGGGCACACCGTCCCCCACCCAGGCCCAAGCCTCTGCACCTGAGCCCAGGCCGCACCCCAGCCTGCACCCCGACCCAAGCCGCATTCCCTGCGCCCCAAGCACAACTCACACGCTCCTGAGTCAGCGCCCTAGAGCCTGCTCCGCGCTCATGCCCTGCCTGGACCCCTGTGACCTTCGATACCTTCCCCGCCTCCACCCTTGCACCCCACACTTCCTCCCCTAGCGTGCTGGGTCAGAGCCCCTACACCAGCTCGCACCTGCTCGGAAGCCGCGGGCCCCGGCGAGACGCCGCAGGACGCCCTGACCGCAATCTCTCTCTCGGTGGAGCGGAGCGTGCGTGGGTGCTGGGCTCAGCCTGGGTGGCCCGCCGCGCACTCTGCGTCACTCAGCCTCACAGCGCGGCCACTAAGAACGCACACGAAGCAGAGTTCTAGCATCCCCACCCGAGGGTCAGCCTCCTCCGGACACCTAGGCACAGACACAGGCGTTTGCTGTCAGAGGACCGGTCAAACACTCCACCACAGTGTGGAGAGCTCAAACCTTACCTTAAAGCCCTCAACAGAGCGGGAGGTCCCTGGGGTAGAGAGGTTGGGTACACAGGCGTTTGCTGTCAGAGGACCGGTCAAACACTCCACCACAGTGTGGAAAGCTCAAACCTTACCTTAAAGCCCTGAACAGAGGGGGAGGTCCCTGGGGTAGAGAGGTTGGGCGGGGGGAGGAAGGAATGGATATCCTAGGTGGACCCTAGCCGGGATGAGCCTCACTCACTCCCCGCAGAGCCTCAGGACCTTCTGCAGGCACTCTCACACTAGTGGGAGGAGGGACCCAAAATCAGAGACCACTCCCAGAGAGTGAGTCTGGACCCCAAGATTGGGGAAGCCTCAGGGCCTCCAAGAGTATCACACTGAGGGGGCACAGAGAGAGTCAGAAGGGCCAACCCCCAGCTTGAGCCTTCACGGGGCTGGCTTTAGCCAAAGATGCCCATGGTTACCCTGAGTGTCCTGCATCCAGCTCCTGGGAAGGCTGGCCCTGCACTGACTTCTGGAAAGATGATACGGCTTCCATGGCTTCCTCTGCCAGCCAGAGCACAGACCACCAGTCTTTCATCCCACAAAGCCACCCTCTACCCTCTCCCAATACTAGCAGGCAATGATACGGTGGATCTCCTGAGCCCCAGTGCCAGGAAAGTGAAGAGGATCCTATGGCCTCGGGGGATCTGTCTAGGGACTCCTGCCTGACCAGCAGCCCCTCATCTCCTCCCCTGGGTACCAGACCCCCATCCAGACCCCTGCCTCCGCTCTGGAAGGCCCTTCTGCAGCTGCCCTGTGGCTCTGCCGTCCCAGGTGAGCCACCTAGTCTGATGGTGTTCACCACTGAGGGGTGTCCACCATCTCCCCACTCAGTCACCACAGTCTGACGGATGGTGCACCACTTATGGAGCAGCACCTTATAGCTTCTTCACGACAAGTCATTAGGAACAAATGTAAAAAGGTCTGTTCCTCAAAGCAGTGGCCCCACGGATCACAGAACAGGCCGCTGTGCACGCAGCTGTTGGACCATCTGCTTTGCCCTGTTGGGCTGCACACTGCAGGGGCACCCAGATCTCTGTCCTGTCCGTGGCTATGTTCCCAGAGCCTGCAACTAGGGCTCACTGAGTGGTAGATTATAGGACAAGCTGCTACTCCCAGAAGAGGTGTCCAACCCCAGGGTAACACGTAAGGAAATGGGTACTCTCCCATGCCAGCTACACCCCGGCCCGTGCTCCTTCCCTAAGCCATCTCATTAACTGGAATCACTGTGGGCAGTTAATATTTCATAAGAGTGATCACAGCAGAGCCGGCTGATGGACAGACTGCCTCTGGTTTCAAGTAGTCTTGGGCCTCTGTGGGAATGTCATCTAAGGCAAAGCAGTTGATGAGCCGTTCATATCCCATGAAGCGTCTGTGTCGTGTTGCCCCAAGTGGCTCCTTCTCTTTTAGAGAAGAACACAGGTTACAAAAAGTCCACGTCCCATCTGCCAGGATGCCATCACAATGGCAATCATGAAATATCCTTCCATAAAAATGGTCATAAAACTCAGATGCAACTTGTGCTGATCTCGCCAGAAAGTCGCCTCCATTCAGACGAAGGAAATAGTCAGCACAAGGAGTTTTTACAGCACAGACATTATGCACACGTTAAAAATCCCCTGCTCAGGCAGCAAAAAGAAAACCACAAAAACATGGTGATTGGATGGCTCCTCGTGGAGGTCATGAACAACACACAGGAACTGCACAGAGGAGTGGGGGAGGTCTGAACCCAGAGCACCCAGCACAGCATCTATCCAGAATCAAACAGTAACTGCTGTGGGCTCTGTCCTGACTCCTCCGCTCTGCCCGTGTTAGGAAAACAGCCACCGGGAATGCTTAAAGTGAACGGGCATGGCTGTGTGCCAATAAAACTTTATTTACCAAAACAGACAGAGACCAGGTTTGGAACTGAGAAGCGAGCTCAAGAACAAGGGATGTCCTTACTTTTCCTTCACTGGGGGAGTCAACAGGTCCTCTGTACTCCATTCCAGAAACAGGACTTCTCCTGAAACTCGGTGTGTGTGTGTGGGGGGGGCGTGGGACAGGACAGGACGATGACAACATGACACTGCTGCAGGAGGGGGGTGTCACCATGGGAACTCTCCACTTACTATGCATTTCCTGAGCTTCTCTGACAGAGGGCACATCACATTCTGTAGGGACAGTGACAAAGTCACATGACATTTTAAATCAAAATCAACAGCTCCCAGCTGTTCTTCTCTCCTACTACGACCATTTTAAGACTCGCTATGGAGGGGCTGGAGAGATGGCTCAGCGGTTAAGAGCACTGACTGCTCTTGCAGAGGACCTGGGTTCGATTCCCAGCACCCACATGGCGGCTATGAACCGTCCTTAACTCCAGTTCCAGGGGAATCCAAAGCCCCTTCTGACCTCTGAGGCATTGCATGACAAGGGGTGCACTTACATACATGCAGGCAATACACTCATACACATAAAATAAAAAAATAATAATAAATAAAATTTTTAAAAAAAGACTCGCTATATACAGCATGACCAGCATGGGGCAGCCTCAGCAGAGGACAGACAGGCCCTTTGGATGACCAAGTCTTCCTTCCCTGAACACTATGCACGGATGTGATTTTCACACAGGAAATAATCATCCTAACATGAGCTTCATGCCTGTGCCCCACATGCATGTTTAAACCTCACTCCTAATGAGAACATGTTAAGAAAGGCAGTCTTTGGAGGTCACTAGGTCATGAGGGTGGAGCCCTTGCGGTAGGATTAGTGCCCTTGTGTAAAGGAGACATGGACTGCCTGTCTTCTCTCCACCATGTGTGGACACAGCCTCAAGACATGCTGACCTTGGGCTTCTACCTCTATAACTGCAAGCAGTCAATGCCTCCTGCTTCAGCCACTCAGTTACAGCAGCTGAAACGGGAGCAGGTATCATAGGGCCCACACTGTGCTTCCACTTGAAGAGACAGTGTCCTGGCCTGTGGCTTGACTGCATCTCACAAGAAGCCGAAGCCAGGCACCCATCCCAATCCCTCGAGGTTCCAGACTCTCAGAAACTGGGGGAGAAACATCTGTGTGACGTCTGGGGGATGTCTGTCACATAGCTGTCCTGACCAGCAGGTACCTAAAGATGGTGCAGGGTGGGATGACATTTGAGTGGAGCTAAGAGTAAAGGGTGAGCCTAGAATGAGGCTGGGGCCACTGTAATGGCTGAGAGAAACCAGATGTCCCCTGTGGCAACCTGTCCTGTGGAACCCCAGTGTGGACTCTGGAGCAGGAGGCAGCGTAGGTGACCATGACCATGAACTCCATGGCCATCCCTGGTCCTCAGCACCTTGGCCATCAGTGCCAGGAACACCCCCAGCAGGTTCAAACCATACAGGCGTTTATCACCATGTTACCAGTATGAGTGGAAATGGGCTCTGACTCAGAAAACCGCCACTGTGTCACACTTGGTAGGAAGGAGGGTCTGAGTTTTACCATTGCCTTTCAGGTAAAAGAGGAGGAGGCCAGACTGCAGATGAGACCACACTGTGACACAGGTATGACCAAGGGCCCTCTAAGGTCACAGCCTTCCGCGCTTTGCCATCTTGAGGCGGGGGGCGGGGGGTTCTGTCTGGGTGCCCAAACTGTCATTGTGACTGGTAGGGAACATGGCCTGGGGCTGTAGCTGCCTTGATCAGAGGGCGAGTCAATGGATACCAGATGTGAGCCATCAGGAGGTGGCCAGCAGCAGTCAGGTAACACACAGCACCCTGCCCTAATGCCAGTCCTCTTAAGACAAGACACCCATCAGGACCTGGTTTCAGGATCCCCCGTGACTGCAGCAGAAAGCAAGGGTACAGGCTCACCTGTGCACAGCAAGATCAGGCTGGCAGCAGCCTGTTGTTCCCCCAGCAACCACGGGACTAAGCAGCATAGCGTCCCCTGCTGGAGGAGAGAGTACTTGGCTTGTTCTCCATTCTACAGTCAGGGTAGTGCACAGCCAGTTCAGGAACAGCACATGACCCAGACTGGGCCAGTCCCAACGTGGGAGTTAGGAACTGGACAAAGCATTCTTCCTGCCAGACTGGGAGCTGTCAACTTTATGCCTGAGGTTGGAGACTGGTAGAGAGTGGACCCTGGGCCAGCAGAGCAAAGGATGAGCCAGGTCCTGAGCGCCGTGGTTGACCCTCAACTGGGCCATGCTTAAAGGCACTTCCGGTTTCTCAGCTATGGGAACTAAGGTTTCAGTTTTGATTTAAGTAAGTTGGGGTCACTTTTCTGCCTATGTCAGGGTTATTTCCAGGAAAAAACACTCTTGGATTTGAAAAAAAAATTGTTATACAAATGGGGCTTTACACAATTGCAACAGAGGAGGGAGTGGAAGTCTGAAAGGAGAAATTGGAGGTGCACGAAAGCCCCTTAAGCCCTCCTGAGTCAAGAGGAGGGGCACTGGCAGAACACTGGGAGCTAGGCGACCCCCACTGTGGACACAGGGCCAGCACGAGCAGAACTCAGAAGTAGTCTTGGGAGACTTCTGCCCTGAGTTTACAGCAAGGGATGCCAGGATCTATGGTGTTGCTTGGGGTGTGGGCAGGAGAGCTGTGAGGAGGGATTTTTGGCTACAGACCCAGAAGAACCCACCCAATACCCCCATCTCCCCATCTCTAACCACAGTGGCCTTCCTGCGTGGCAATGGCTGCTATACCCCCATCTTCCAGATCTTACATTCTTGCTGTTTATTTCTCTTTGGGTCAAGCATGGTCTGGAGCTGTGTGGAGTTCTGGGAACAAAGCTAAACCATGGTAATGCACCACAAAGCCATGTGCTTCAAATTCTTACATTAGAAATCTCACCTAGGACCTCCACTAACCCACATGCCCTGGAACAGCCATCATATATGATATAGCCTCCAGAGTCACCAGGGACTGGAGACCACATGACCAAGCCTCCTCCTCCTCCTCTCCATCCTCATAAACCACAGATGCCCAGCATAGCCACCCCTCAAAGAAGCAGGTACTTCCAGCCAGATGGTCCAGGGCTGCCAGAGTGCAGGGAGAAGTGGTTCCAGGGCAGCTGCCCAGCTCCTCAGGTCAGGGAAACTCACAAGGCCTGAAAGGCAAGGTCCTCCCCTGCTCCAGTCAGGCCTTTTGGGCTCCACACCTGTTCTAGTTTGCCTTCAATTACTAGAACGACAAAACACTCTGACCAATACCAACTTGGGAAGGAAAGGATCTATTTGTCTTACATCTCTCAGGTTATAGTTCATCAGGGCTGGAACCTAGAGGCAGGAGCTGGAGCTCAGGCCATGGAGGAATTGCCAAGGAGGTCTCAGTGGGGCTGTCAGAAGGCAAGGGCCAGATGCCAAGATTGGTAGAGCTGCAGAGCCAGGGTCCACCCCACAGCCTTGACCTGGCTTAGCTCGTTCTCTGCCTGTGCTGCCCTCACCTTCACCATTCCTGTTTAGTTAGAAGGGGGAGAAGCCAATGGAGCAAAACCCAGAGCTAGCACGGCAGTAACTCCACCGCCTCTTCCCAACGGTCTCAGCCTGCCAGCTTCTGGTACAACGTGGTGCAACTCCATCACAGGCCTAGGACTCTCCTAGGACCAAGGGAGAGCTGGCCAGAAGTTGGAGATGCCCTCCTCCTCCTGCCAAATGAACACGCCTGCGCTGTCTTGACCCTAAAGGCCAGCTGCCCTCTTACCCGTTTCCACCATCCATGGCCTCCCTGCATGGCCTCCACTGGCACAGAGGCTGTCTGTGAGCTCACCTGCCTGCCGTGTCAGCCGAACTGTGTCTTTCAGTTGAGGCCTCACTGTTCCTGCCTAGTGGTGAACAACACACGTGTAGGTCAGAGGACAGCTCTCAGGTGTTGGTTCTTCTCCTTCCACCATGGGAAACCTCAGGTTTTCAGGCTTACAAAACAAGTGTCCTGACCTGCTGAGTCATCTCGATGCCCTTTCACAGGGGTCTTGATGAAGGCAGGTCAGATCAGAACATGAAGTACTTAATAAGAAAGGGAAGGTAAGCGAGGTGTAGTGGCTCATTCCTTCAATCCCAGCACTGGGGAGGCAAGGGCAGTCAGATCTCTGTGAGTTCAAGGCCAGCCTGGTCTACATAGTGAGTTCCAGGACAGCTGGGGCTACAGAGAGACCCTGTCTCAAAAAGACAAAAATAAAAAAAAGAGAAGGGAGGGAGGGAGGAAGGGAGGAAGGGAGGGAGGGGAGGGGTCAGATGTGGGTAGGATGACTTAAGAGCTAAAGCTTGGTCAGAGACAGCCTGTCACCCCCAAAGGACCGGAGATCCCCAGTGCCTGAGTCAGGGTGTACGTGTAGGCTAGGTGAGGATATTAAAGTTTTCAACCTAAAAAGAAACTCAGAGCCAGAACAAATGAGTTCGATCAGTATTGCCTGAGGTGCAAGTTGACAGACTGCAGGCACAGAAAGGGGTGGGTGTCAAAGTTCGAGTGGTATTTTTTGTTTCTGTTTGTGTTTTCTTATGTGCGTGAGTACTTTAACTGCATGCATGTGAGAACGCCGGTGCACACAGTAATGCCCACGGAGACCAGAAGAGGGCTTCAGATCCCCTGGAACTGGAATTACCCGGGTCCCGGGTCCTCCGGGAAAGCAAGCAGTGCTCTCTTTTTTTTAATATTTATCATTTTATTTTATGTGTGCAGGTGGGCCCAGAAACCATTTCCGCGCGCATGCCCCGAGGCCCCGTCGCCCTTCCCGCCCCGCTTTCCTACCGCAGCTCCCCCCTGCCCAGCGTCCCGTGACCCCCGCTTCTCTGCCTTCCCCGCCCCGCGGCTCCGCCCAGGTTAGGCCCTGAGCCGCAGCTGCTGCACGCATGCGCACACAGGCCCGCGCCTCCCGAGGTCCCAGGGCGCAGAACCGGGCTCCTTGCGCATGCGCAGGGCCGGGTGCGTAGCCCGAGGGGAGGGGCGGAAGGGCGGAAGCCGGGCCGTCCCACTGCTCCCTTGTGGCTCCGCCCTCCCTTCCCGGCCGCCAATGGGGGATCATGCCCCGTCCCTAACGACTCAGGCCCCGCCCCTGGAGACGCGCCGCTGCCGCGGCCTCATATACTGGGGAGCGGAGGGCGCAGGGAGCGGGCGGGGGCTGCGGCGCCATGAAGCTGACGCGGAAGATGGTGCTGTCCCGGGCCAAGGCGTCGGAGCTGCACAGCGTGCGCAAGCTCAACTGCTGGTGAGGCCGCTGGGCATTCTGGGCGCGAGAGGAGCGGAGGCCCCTGCGGGTGACCAGGAGAAGGCCAGCCGTGTCCCACCCCGGGGACAGAGACCCAGGCCACCCCAGGCGTGCAGACCCACCCCGGGGACAGAGACCAAGGCCACCCCTGGCGTGCTGGCCCACCCCGGGGACAGAGACCCAGGCCACCCCAGGCGCAAGCAGTGCTCTCTTTTTTTTAATATTTATCATTTTATTTTATGTGTGCAGGTGGGCCCAGAAACCATTTCCGCGCGCATGCCCCGAGGCCCCGTCGCCCTTCCCGCCCCGCTTTCCTACCGCAGCTCCCCCCTGCCCAGCGTCCCGTGACCCCCGCTTCTCTGCCTTCCCCGCCCCGCGGCTCCGCCCAGGTTAGGCCCTGAGCCGCAGCTGCTGCACGCATGCGCACACAGGCCCGCGCCTCCCGAGGTCCCAGGGCGCAGAACCGGGCTCCTTGCGCATGCGCAGGGCCGGGTGCGTAGCCCGAGGGGAGGGGCGGAAGGGCGGAAGCCGGGCCGTCCCACTGCTCCCTTGTGGCTCCGCCCTCCCTTCCCGGCCGCCAATGGGGGATCATGCCCCGTCCCTAACGACTCAGGCCCCGCCCCTGGAGACGCGCCGCTGCCGCGGCCTCATATACTGGGGAGCGGAGGGCGCAGGGAGCGGGCGGGGGCTGCGGCGCCATGAAGCTGACGCGGAAGATGGTGCTGTCCCGGGCCAAGGCGTCGGAGCTGCACAGCGTGCGCAAGCTCAACTGCTGGTGAGGCCGCTGGGCATTCTGGGCGCGAGAGGAGCGGAGGCCCCTGCGGGTGACCAGGAGAAGGCCAGCCGTGTCCCACCCCGGGGACAGAGACCCAGGCCACCCCAGGCGTGCAGACCCACCCCGGGGACAGAGACCAAGGCCACCCCTGGCATGCAGGCCCACCCCGGGGACAGAGACCAAGGCCACCCCAGGAGTGCAGGCCCACCCCGGGAACAGTGACTGAGGCTGCCCCAGGCCCACTTTGAGGAGGGCCAGTGACTCAGGGACACAGCTCCAGATGTGCTAACAGCTGAGGGGCTCTCACTAGTGCTGGGACAGATAGTCCCACTGTGGCTGATACCCGAAGGCCAAGTTGCTTAATGGCATGTCTACAGAAAGAGAGGGACTGGGAAGAGGTGAAGTTGTAAAGTCCTGATTCCATGATGCTGGGGAGGGCTGTGCCCAGGTGACCTGGCCTGGGAGACAGCCAGGGACATAGATGCTATGGGATGGATGCAGACTCAAAGACAGAGACTGAGCCTCAATGAGACAGGAAGACCAGGATTCTGGGGGAGGCTGCCTGTAGTTGAGGTTTGAAAGGTCAACAGGTAGTTCCTGGGGACTCAGGTGGGACACCATGCCCAGGGTGTCCTGGAAGGGGCACAGCCAGTGCAGACCCTTGCTCCTGGCGGTGTTGGCATGCCACTGGACAGATTGAGCTTTGCAGTGTTAATTAAAAGCCTTTCTCTGCCCGGCACATCTGGTGTTGGGCCACAGTCCCCTCTGTCCTCGGCTTTTGAGAATGCCCTTCTTTGTTTAGTCTGTATGGCTGGGCTTCCTCTCTGCAGGCAGAAACAGCAACCCATTGCAGGCCTATGAAGTTGGCTTCATAAGTTGCATGTTCAGCCTTTGAACGTGGCCTCTTAGGAAGCTGCCTTTGTCTATTTTAGCAAAGGAAAATGACCTGCCACCAGAGACTGGGAAGGGTCAATCTTGGGCCCTGCAGACAGAAGTGTGCATCAGGTGTGCAGTTGTGTCGGAAATCAGCCTGTATCTGACACCTTTTTCAGTCATCTGCGCAGCTACACTTTCTTTTTCACTGTGCCTTTCAGAGCATAGGCTCTTCATAGGCAGGCATTTGTCATTGGCTTGGGGATTTTTGCTATTTTTATTCAACAAGATTAAAGTCTATCTGTCTTTTCTTCCCCAGGGGCAGCCGGCTCACAGATGTAAGTGTTGCCTTAAAATATCCAAGTGGCCTGGCCTCCAAGCTAGAGCCTCTCATAGAAGAATAAAGGGACATTATAGTCATCCGTTCAGTCCCATGTCACTTGCTGGTTCAGAGGAGGGTGCAGAGTCAAAGCTCTGCTCTGGAAAGGGGCCCAGGTGGTTTTCTTCAAGGATCATGCATTGTCAAAGGCTGTCTGCCTGGCCTCCTGTGAGTTGGCTCAGCTTCAGGATGCCCCCTTCCCCCCATGGCAGGCAGAGACTGACCAGCATGCAGAACTGGGACTGTGGGGCCAGCCCAGGGCCCAGGTCTGCTCTGCAGACCTGACATTGTGAAGATCCACTTGCAATTCTGCTTTGAGCCTGCTTCCATCAGCAAGGAGAGCGTCCACCCTCTCCTTGTACCTCAGGTACAGCAGGAAGAAATGTTCTGCATCCCAGCATAGGGCATCGTGAGATCCCTGGCTAATGTCCTTTGAAGGCATTGAAAACAGTGATCCTGTCTCTACAGCTGGCAGCGATTGATACTGTCTTAAAGTGCCACACAGAAGCACTCAGCCCAGTGTGGCACACAGGATTCCCCTTCAGAGACAAACTTGTAGCAGGCTTCTCTGAGCACCCTAGTTGTACAAAGCTAGACCCCTTGGCCCTGAATGCAGGTGACAGAGCTCAGGACAGATGTCTCTCCTGACCTGAGAAGTGGCAGCAGGACACTGTTGCCGACTTAGCAACCCCGTTCTTTCCTCCCTAGATTTCCATATGCCGGGAGATGCCCAGCCTGGAAGTGATCACACTCAGGTACCTGACTCTGTGTTGCCCTAGTCTTGGGGTGTGGAAGCCGTAGGGAGCCTCACATCCCTCCTGTAGGTCTCAGGGAAGAGAGGAAACCTGGAAGCTCTCAGCACAGTTTGAGAAGGCAGCTTCCAGTGATGACAGGGAGGTCGAATGGGGCCATGAGCGCCTGGCCCTCCTGTAGCCGGCTCCTGCCCCCTTTCTCAGGGACTCACCTGAGTCTCCTCCTAACAGCTCCTTTCCCCTGCTTGCCCTGTTGCAGCCACTGCCCAGCCTTGGTCTTAACACCCCAGGCAGTCTCTGTGTACTCACAGCTGTAGTCAGGCAGGGTCTAAAGACTGGCCTGGCCAGCCCTCCCTGTGGCCACATCTGCCCTCAAGGACCCCGACTTCTGCCTTCCTGGTTCCTCCACCTCCAGGAGCTCCACCTGTCTCTGGATTCCCTTCTCCCACCCTGGGACCCAGGATGGGGCTGATATTTGTGGACGCTGCTGCCTGCTAAGTGCTGACATGGGTGTGTTTGCTGTGTCAGCATGGTGTCAAGTGTCCTTTTTGGTAGCGTGCTCCCCACCAGAGCGACCCTGTAGGAAGGAACATGTGGAAGCGTGTGTCAGTGGGGATCTTCAGGGTCTGATGTGTGCTCCACATGTCTCTTTCTATGATGTGTTCACTTACCTACGGGATGGAAATCAACTCTGTCCTCTATTTCTCTTTAGCCTGGGGTTCTGGACGTCAAAGCCGATATCTGTGTGACATGGAGCTTGTGGGTATTTCTGCACAAGTTTAACCAGTGCCTGCTTTGGGGCTGTGTGTCCCTTAGGGACTCAGTGTCCTCACCTACAAATGAGTGTAAAGCATCTCTCTGCCATGTGATGCCCTGACGTGTAAATGCACAGCTCCGGCTGCAGAGCAGCCCGCCCAGTGCCTCAAGTTAAGGGGTTCCCCCTTAGGCTGCCTCCCTGTCCTTGACCTGCTTGACTTTGATCTGCTTCTGAGGGCAAGACCTTTTTCCAGTGCTCACAGATGAAGCAGACCCACAAGTAGAGGCTCCTGGCCCACATGGGTCTCCTAACAGCATGCTGGTGCTGGTCCCACAGCGTCAACAGTGTCTCGACTCTGGAGCCTGTGAGCAGCTGCCAGCGCCTGAGTGAGCTGTACCTGAGGAAGAACTGCATCCCCAGCCTGGATGAGCTGTTCTACCTGAAGGACCTGCCACACCTCAGGGTGCTGTGGCTGGCAGAGAATCCATGCTGCGGCCCCAGCCCCCACCTCTACCGCATGACCGTCCTGCGCAACCTGCCCCACCTGCAGAAGCTGGACAACCAAGGTAGGTCCCACACCGCCCGCCCGCCAACTTCAATAAGGCGGCCCCCAGTAGGGAACCTCCCAGGGGAGCTTTCAGACGTGCCGTTTCATTCTTGACACCCATTGCAGCGTTGGTGCCCACAGGGCTCCTGGCTGTGCACCCACCCTGGCTTCCATACCCCAGCAGCCTCTCCTCCTTTTTCCTTCCTCCACAAGGAGCATCTTCTTCACGACATGGCAAGGATGTGCCCGTGTGGTGACTGGGCAGTGTGTGGGCCAGGGCAGCATGTGGTGACTGGGCAGCGTGTGGTGTCAGGGCAGCGTGTGGTGACTGGGCAGCATGTGGTCCAGGGCAGCATGTGGTGACTGGACAGTGTGTGGGCCAGGGCAGCGTGTGGTGACTGGGCAGCGTGTGGGCCAGGGCAGCGTGTGGTGACTGGACAGTGTGTGGTGTCAGGGCAGCGTGTGGTGATTGGGCAGCGTGTGGTGACTGGACAGTGTGTGGTGACTGGACAGTGTGTGGTGATTGGGCAGCGTGTGGGCCAGGGCAGCGTGTGGTGACTGGGCAGCGTGTGGGCCAGGGCAGCGTGTGGTGACTGGACAGTGTGTGGTGGCACAGCAGCATGTGGTGGCATGGCAACGTGTGGTTGCAGGGCAGCGTCTGATCCCATGTGTGTGTCAGGGTGGCGGGTCCTGATGTGGGCCCTTGGTAGGGTTCAGTTCACTGACTCCAGAGACTGACGTCCTTCCTGATTGTCGACTGGGCTCATAGCATGCCAGTTTCTGACCCTCATCAGTTATTTAGAATTTTTTCCCAAATACTTTGAATAAACAGTGTGAAGAAGTTGCCTGTGTGTGAAGTGAGGTAAATACAGGAAGCCCATTCTGTATTGTAATTTGCCTTAGGACTGGAAATATAGCTTAGCGGGAGAGGGCCTGCTAGTGTACATAAGGCACTGGGTTCAACCGCAGCACCTCAGGAATTTGTCTTGATTGGAGTTTTTGCTCCCAGGAGATGCCAGAGTTGAGGCTCACAAGTCCCCTTGGCTGTCTGCTAAGGGGCACTGGGGCTGGGGAGAGGAGTAGACAGTAGCCAGAGACGACCCCCACCCGGTGCACACAGCAGACACAGGTGTGTTGAGGCTCCAAGGAGGCCAGGGCTGAGCGGGACTGTGCACTCTAACGTTTTCTTGTCCTCCCCAAGCTGTGACCGAGGAAGAACTAACACGTGCACTAATGGAGGGAGATGAGATCACTGCTGCCCCCGGCAGAGATGGTGCAGGCAATGGGTGTCCCAAGCCCTCCTACACCCTCAGCTCTGACAGCTCCACACCTGAGACCAACCAGAGCCTGCTGAGCTACACGGAGGAGGCAGAGTAAGCTAGTAGGGAGCAGGCCCACTGTCCCCACAGCCTCCTTAGCTAGGTGAGGCTCCTGTGTGTCCTGCTGGGAAGAGGGAGGGGAGCGAGTTCCAGCTCAGAGTGTGGTAGCCTGTGCCAATGGGCAGGGAAGGAAGCAGACCTGTGTGAGAGGGCAGGAGCAGTGTGTGGGCCTATGGTGCTCCTCACGTGGCTGGGAATTGGGCATTCTGGGGCTGGTTATGACTGCGCTGATCAGAAGTGATGTCGGAAGACTATGTCCTTCAGAGGGGCCCCAGGCAGAGTTCCACATGGCAGGCAAGGCCTCCTGTCTCCCATCTTGTGGGAAGTATTTCAATGTGAGTTCTGTGGGACTGGCTGCAGGCCACTCTCCTGCTCTGACTCCTGCCAGCGTCATTTCTGTGGAGCGCCTGTCCCGAAGCCCTAGATAGATGGCATTACTGTCTCTGCTCTATAGTGGGGTCACTTGCCAGTTTGACAAATAGTGTCTCTTCACTGGGATTCGACATGCAGATTGCTGTGCCTGGAGCCCTCCAACCCTCACCATCTCCTTACTGGCAGTGTCCAGGGTCAGCTTGGCTCAAAGACTTCTGCTGGGGGCCAGTCTCCTTCCTTCTCACAGAGGGATGCTTTGAGGAGTCACAAGAACAGGGTAAGTTGCCACTGCATCCTCTGCAAGAGAGCAGAAGCCATGGGAGGGGCGTAGCATCCTTTGGGGATCCCAGGTCTATGTCTGGCTTATAGGAAGATAGAGGGTGATGCATGAGGCAAGGGCCATAGCACCAGGCTCAGCTGTGCTCTCCCCTTCTGGCCGACCAGAGGCCCTCCCTTCTAGGTCACTCTGCTCAGGGTACCTTCCCTCCCTCCCTTTCCACTTGCTGTCCCCATCAGTTCCAAGCAGGTGTGCTGCCCACATGCTCTGCTCCTTCTGCAAGTCCTCGAAGTGCTCAGCAGAGAGTTGCCAGAGGCATCAGTCTTCAGGTGCCCATGTGTGCCTAGCAGGCATCCTCCAGCCGGCCTCTCCTGCTGGCTGCCCCTGGCCAGCACCTCTGGAGCAAGAACACAAATAGCCCTGGGGAACTACAGGGGCCTTGGTGTGCTGCAGAGGTTGGGGGTCAGATAGTGCTGCGGAGGTCAGGGTTCGAAGTGAGTCACTTCTAGCTTGTTCCTCCTGCTGAGCCACAGTGTCCCTCAAGGGTATTTGGGAAACACCCTTGTCCTCCCGCTTTGTATGAGAGGCTATCACTCTGAGCTGTCCTGGGCCCTTGCTTTGTGCCTTGGTTTCTCCATCTGAAGCTAAGCCACAGACCCAAGGCTGAGTGAACTGATAGGAAGCAGTGTACCAGTGTTTGTGCTGTGACCTTCCTGGCTTGGAAGGCTGAACCCTGACTGTTCACCCTGAAATGGGGTGCCAGGCCCCAGGTCACTCTCTTTGTCCCCAGAACATCTTGACTGCCATCCTGCTGCTGCTACGGGAGCTGGACACAGAGGGACTTGAGGCTGTCCAGCAGACTGTGGGCAGCCGGCTCCAGGCACTGCACCGGCTGGAACCCCCGGAGGACATGGAGTGACCTCATACACCCAGCACCTGGATCCTGCTCCATCTTTGCAGAAACACAGCTCTACCTGGAAAGCCTCTTTCAGTGTTCCTGCCATCAGGCCAGTACAGGGGCAGCCACACTAGCTGGGCAGACCCTCTCCTGTGTCCAGGGCTGGCAGAGATACTGCCCACCAGGATGGTCCCTGGGACTTAGCTACAGAGGCCTTGATGTTCTGGGCTCCCCCACCCCCGACCCCTCAGGGAGGGCTGTGCGGGCCATCCCCTCCAATAAAGTACTTTCCGTCTGGGCTCCTCTCTCAGTGGGAGGCGCAGCCCTGACCTTGGGTCCGTGCTGCTTCTCAGCAGCTGGGGGAACCCTGCAGTGTTGCTGCCTGTGTCAGTCCTGTCATTGGGCTGGTTTCTGTCCTCACAGAGATGGCGGAAATGTCATGTAGACACTGCCTCAGTGTCCGTAGCTGGCACCACAGCTGGCCCTGCTCGGGAGGGTGTCTGCTCAGGACAAGGCTGGGCAGGACACGCCTCCCCTTGTTTCCCTTCAGGAGTCATTGTGTTGGGTTCACCCAGAGTGGACAGTCACAGGCCTGTGTCTGCTTGCCATTTTGAGGCATCAGATGTCTCAATCAAGTCTTTATTAGAACACGTGAGGGTCACTGTGACTTACCCACCAGGCAGGGCCACCTTGGTGCCTTGGGGTGGGCTTGCGCTTGTAGAGAACAGAGAGGTGTAGGTTAGCATGTGAGACGACAGAAAGGACCCCATCACCTACTGAGAGCTATGCTCAGGGCAGAGCATGCCCAACAAAGCCTTCTGCAGATAATAGACTGGCTCTGTAAATGACCTGTGGAGGGTTTTGATACTGAAGACCCAGGCCTTTCAGCCTTTGACCTCTCTCCAGCTCTGGCCCATTTCTAATCTTGGAAGTGCCTTTTCCCTTAATAAACTGTTTCTACCACTATCAATGTGTCCCTGGTCCAATTTCTTGTTCTAGAACATACGAACCTAGAAATCCAGCAGGATACCTGTAATATCCTGTAATATCCTGGCATTCCTCCTCCCGCACATCTTTGAACTCAGGGATGCGAGAACTGGACCAGTTGGGGTGAGCTCCCAGCTCCCGATTGCCTTTCCCTCCTCAGCCTCCTCTGCCCACATGGAACAAGGTACAGTGTGTCACTCTACCTGGAGCTGAGTGAGACCTTCAGCCCTTCCAATTTGTCCAGGCACACCTCCTTGGACAAAGCAGAAATTGACACCAGGGGTGGAGGTGCCCCTCCCAGCTCACAGCCCAGAGCACTGAGGCCAGGAGGCACTATCCCTGGAACGATGGATGTGCAGAAGTGAGCACAGGGAGGAGGTGGCCGCTCTGCACCCTGGACATCACCCGAGGCCAATGCTGTTACCCAGTGGCTGCTGTGCAGCTGAGCAGGTGGATGCTCAATCTGCCAGGATACGCCAAGTTCCATGGAACCAGGCCGCAAGGCAGTGACCAGATCCCACCTGACCATGACTAGAATGAGGTGCCAAGCCTCACAAGTTCTGTGTCCAGATCTCCTGCCCCTTGGTGCCCGCCCTCATTGTGTGGAGCCATCTGTGTGGTTGGTGCTGCTGATTTTCAAGAGGAACAGAAATCAGATGCCAGCCACAGCTTGCTTGTCTCCAGACCCTGAGCCGCCTTCGATGGAGTCAGTCTCTTGGTGGACAGACTCATGGGGACTCTAGAACATCCCTGTGACTCCCCAAGCAGGAACGCTGAAGCCTGGTCGCTGGGAAACTGAAGCAGCAATGAGGGACCTTGTGATGGTCTGTGAGGGCATGTCCAGGAAGGACTGGTGATGGGGGGAGAAGACCCCAGGGTGGAAGCACCTCCCCCAGCAGCAGCCCAGATACAGAGTTTGAGGGAAAAGCCATGCTGCCTGCCTTCCCTTCTTGCTGGTCAGTGTGTCTACCCTGTTGTCCTTGCAGCCACCACCAGCCATCCTTCACTGACACCAGAACCCAGCTGCTGCTTCCAGTGTGGACTGAGCACCATACTCTCCAGGAATCCTCCAGGCCCTCTGCACCAGACTGCTGAGGCATCCAGCCTCTCAGACTAAGCAGCTACCAGTACAGTCTCTTCAGCATGCAGCCAGCCATCATTGGACTAGTCTGTGTAAGCCAGTCTAGTGAATCCCCTTTCTAACGTCAGATCACAAGTCTGCCTCTGTGGACAAGTGTGACATGACGTGCAACAGGTGAGGGCTGGTAAGTGGGCTCAGCATTCTGCTTTGACGGAAATTTCCCAAACTTCCCTTATCACCCCAAGATCTACTTAGCCTCCCTGCCTGAAACCAGCCTTCCTTCTGACAATGGGCAGAATGCAAGGACACAGACAGAACAGACCCCCCACCTGCTGTCCTGCTGCTATCCATGGTGGGCTGGGTACCAAACTGAGGGTGGCAAGACAGCGGCTCCCCAGTACACAGCAAGGTCTTGGAAAGAGCTACTCCATGGGCCAGCACCTCACCTGGTCTAGTAATGCCCAACCAGCCCAGGCCCACGGGGAGACCCTTGCCTAAGGATACTCCTTCTAATGAGGCCTGTAGGCCTCCAGCCACAACCTTGACCTTGACAGTACACAAGAGCTAAGAGCAGCCGCCACCTGCTGGAAGTACCCAGTCACTGCAGGGGGACGAGCCCAGGAGCCCAGCAGAGGCTTGTACAGAAACCTAAACTGTCCTTGACAAGAGGATTAGGGCAGGATCTGAGGTGGGTGTGGCCAGGTCACTGCCCTTCACAGGCTTCTCTGAGGTTCCGGACTAGGTGCCTCCCAGGACTGCCTGGGGGTGAGTGACTAGCCATGGCCCCTATGGTGACAAGTCTCCCCTCACACACCCAGTATCCCCAAGGCTGCCTCACATCAGACACTGCCCATGGGCTGAGACCCAAGCTGGGGCTGAGGCTAGAGACCATTTAGAGGCAAATGTAGGACCCACAACAGGCTCTAAAGCCCTCCACAGCCCCTTTGCCCCTCAGGCAGAGCTGAGAGGGACTCAGGTGCCCCTGGTGCCCCCACCCTACCCCAGGGTAGTCACTACCATCTGTTCTCATAGAGTAGTTGTGGGTAAGGCTTACACTTGAGCCCTGCCAACTCCTTCCCTTGACACCCTACAGGCTATGCCTTCCAGGTGACCAGACTCTAGTCAGGGTGACTTTATTTCTAGAAAAGGTGAGGCTCTGCTGAACCACGTGCTGAGGCAGCCAGCTGGCCAGTAAGGGGGAGGGGCAGTGTGAATACATTCAGCCAGGGCTAGAAGGTGGGGGCCTCGGTGCTCTGTCCTGCAGGCAGCTTGCCAGGAGGCCTGATGGGCAGCTGGGGGAGGAGAGCCTTTGAGCAGCAGAGGAGACCTCCCGACCCCTGCCACAGGCTCCATTCCATGCCAGAGGCTGTGACCACTGCTGGAAGGAGAGAGTCCAGGGAGGCAGGCAGGGTGGTGAGGCCTCAGAAGCCCTTATCCATGCTCAGGCTGCGGCGCGTGACATGCTCCAGCTCCCCTGACACATAGTCCGCCATGCTGATGCGGTAGTGCGCCAGCATCTTCAGCATCAGTCGCAGGTTCAGCCACCACTGCTCCCGGGGCATGCGGTGCCTGCACAGGAAGTCAGGGTCAGGTAGTTAAGGGTGCGATCCCTATGCTTCCCTAACCTCTGAATACCTCAGTACTGTTGGTAACTAGGTGGTACCTAGGGCACATCTGGGTGCTCCATCCCTCAGTAGCCTTGAGGACCACAGAGATGGGGTCAGGTGCAAGGGCCTCAGGCTAACCAGCCTGCTCATCCCAACCCCTCCCCACTCTTCCCAGAGTCAGCCTCAGAACACCTGGATGTGACCCCTGTTCCCCAAGGCCTGGTGGGGACCCTGTATGTGTGGAGGGGAAAGTCTGGGCCTCAGGGTCCTCCACTATCCAGGGTCCTCCCCCATCCAGGGTCCTCCCCACCCAGGGTCCTCCCCCATCCAGGGTCCTCCCCTTCCAGGATCCTCCCCATCCAGGGTCCTCCCCTTCCAGGGTCCTTCCCTTCCAGGTTCCTCCCCCATCCAGGGTCCTCCCCCTTCCAGGGTCCTCCCCTTCCAGGGTCCTCCCCCATCTAGGGTCCTCCCCATCCAGGGTCCTCCCCCATCCAGGGTCCTCCCCACCCAGGGTCCTCCC